TTCTTTTTGTATGGTTTGTATTGTTTGTCGGTCTAGTTTGTATTGTTTGTACAGTTCATACGTTTGTAATGTTTGTATGTTTTGTCGCTCTAGTTTGTACTGTTCGTATGTTTGTATGGTTTGTACTGATTGTAAATCTGGTTTGTATACTTCGTAATTTTCCATAATACCCAAACTACCCCTGTCATTAATTAAATAGCCCTTCCCACTTTTTAACCATTAGATTGAAGTGTCCAGATCTAAGGGCTGGGAGGGGCTTAGTCAAGTGACTAAGCACCCCCCCTTAGTCACCAGATCCGCTCTCGGAGAAAAGAGGATATGAAGAGGACAATGCTTTAGGATTTTGGATACTTTTAGATTTATGTTTTATCTTTATATTATATATTCTGAAAATAATTCTATGAAAAAGTTATCGTCCGGAAACATTTATAGAAAATAAAAAAATTACGTCAATTGGATAATCGAACATAAAATTGCGATTGTTCAAAGTTTAGCGAAATAAAAAATGACCAATTTGGGGTAGGAAACGACCTTTTCAAGAGACGAAGACGGCTACAAAGATCTCGAAAAATTATCACCGAGTGCAAAATTACGACCGTTTGAAGTTTTCACGTATGTAATGTGAAAAATCGTTGGAGCCCTTGATCCGTTGTAAAACGTGGATTCAAATTTACCTGATTCAAAAGACCATGATCATATTCCCTAGGATCTCTCAGAAGGGTTCAGGTGTCGCAGCTCATACATATATATCAATGTGTCTGTGTTATTCGGTTTGATTATTAGTAAAGAGAATACTATCGCGAATTGGTAAAACAGTCGCCAGGCGGAGGAGCAGCAGCATGCAACGAGCAGTGATTAGCAGCCACTCGTGAGTCGTCCAATTATGTACATCCATGGAATACCCACCGGAACCGGACAGCCGTTAATTAGCCTCGATCTCCTGAAATGTAACAAAAGACAATGGAAGGCTAGCTGGAAGTAGCGCCAACTTCCCCGGCCGCCAAAAGACAAAAACAAAAAAGAGAAACATACATGCATTTGTCTTCTCTTCTTCATGTTTCAAACAAACCTATCCCCATCTTAGCTCGCTCTCTCTGTGTTTCGTTAATTGTCTCCCCCTGCAATCGATGGCTACCTTCAACGCGTTTGTAGTCGTCGACCTCAGGTCGACCAACTAAAACCAAAACAAGAAGAGACGAGAGAGAGCATCTGCTGGCTAGAGATTCGCCCAACGTCGAAAAGAAGTGGCTCATATTGATTACGAGACCACATAATTACAAACTTCCACGACTAATTTGATGCCTCTCTTGATCGCCGATGAATTTGTTATGTTGGGACAATCCAAATACTATATTGAGAGTGCAACATATAGGATCCTTATATTATTAGTGTTATAAAATTCGTTAGTATGAGAGCTTTTAAGAAAGAATAGTGAAAATCAAATTCGTACGGATTTAACTCGGTTTCAACAGTTTACGGATAAAGAGAGAAACTCAATATAGTTTTGTTTTGTTGTTATTCTTCTTCCCCCTATTCTGGCTAGTTATACATTAATTAATTAGCTTTTCCTCTCTCGATATATATATATGTTCTACTAATTTAGCTCAAAGAAGCGCGCCGGGTAGATTAGATCCTTTGTTTTTGGCCTTGTAGCAAAAATCAAAGTTCGTAATGATGCTTCTTGAGGTGATCGATTATGTTGAAGACAAGAAATGCCGGGTTTTGTTTTTATACTTCCGTCGCTTTGCTCCCTTGCCTCATTATTCCTACCAAGAATGAAAGAATACCTCACATTCATGTGGATTGCAGCATAGACCAGACAATTTATAAGGCCTTTGAACGACTATATATCTTTTTTACTCATTCCAAAGATCATGGTGTGAAAATTAATAGGTCTTTACATAAATACAAAGCATACACTGATCCGGATGTGAAAATTAACAGGTCATTTGCAAAACATAAATATATAAGACCTATTAATTTTCATTGTGGGGATGATATGACAATGCTGAGCAACATCATTTAACATAATGGAAAACATTTCCAAAGCGACTGTAAACAAAATCCATCATGGACTTGAACCAAAATCCATCGTTTGCCTTAGGGAATTAGGGAGATGGAATTTGTGGGCCCCACCTCTTTTGGGGTTTCAAATCCGTGGATCCCACGGACTTGGAAGTTCCACCTCTTGAGGTGGGATTTGGGTGATGGATTAAAATCCATGATGGTAAATTACCTTTCTATCCTTAATTATTTCTTTAATTACAAATTTGTCCTACTTTAATTCAATGGTCATGCAACTGTAAACTTTTATAATTTCGTATTTTATAAATATGAGAATTTATCATTTCATTTTGTAATATCGTATTTTATTTAAATATGAATGTATATGTGATTTGTTAGATTCACCTAGAAACACTTTATGATCATCTTGTACATTATTATTTGATTGATTGTCGGATTCCACATCGGTGAGTTAGCAAGAAGAAGATGAGTTGTAGCAATAAAGCGAGCAATTGGCTGCAATTGATACATAATATTGCGTACATTATTAGATGAATTGTTAATTAGTGCCAAATTGTAATAAATTTCTATATTTGTAGTTGAATTATTAATCCACATAGTGGTAAAGAGTTTAAAATTTCTTTCTATGTTTTGGATTAGTTTTAAATGAAATATTTGGATTAGAATATATAAATATAATTAAATAAGGGTAACTAGGTAATTTGTATTTAATATCCACAAATCTAATCAAACAAAGTCCATAATCAAATCCATCAAGAAAACAATAGACTTGTTCAAATCCATAATGCCACCAAATCCATCATATATCCATGGTTTTCCAAAACCCAGGTTTTACCAAAACCCTCATTTTTCAAATCCATGAAGCAAACGACCCGTAAGATGAGAGAGGATTGCCCTGTCGCAATCCTTGTTTGAATTGAAATTAGCAAATAAGCTACCATGGACATATACACTAAAAGTAAGCAGAAGAAACACTATGCCTCACCCACGTCACAAACTCCTATGATATATATTACATTAAACATCACACCTAATAAGAAATCTTAGTTTATTGAATCAAAAGCTTTCATCAGATCAATAGTGATTATAGCGAATTTTTTTTGATTGTGCATAAATTTTCGAAATTTTGCAAGCCGCAAACGATCGAATACCCGAGTGCAAAGTTGCGTTTGTTTGAAGATTTGGCCTAGGTTAGGAGTTTATCAATTTTATTTTGTTAAAACTGCTGGGGGCAGCAGACGGTTTATGAGAAAATGTGATATTTTTGGAATTTTTTTGGGTGTTATTTCTGGAAACAATTCCAATTTGAGGTGCAAGAAGAGAGAGAAAGGAGAAGAGGTGAGTGTGAAAATTGATGTTAAAATAATTATAATGTTTATTATTATATTTAAATAATTATATTTTGAATACAAATATATGTTAATGATGATTGTTATAATTAAGATAGTAAGAAAGATTATATTACTATTGAATCATAAATCATAATTTTTTTTATTATAAGTGTAATGGAAAAAGTAGAACGTGAAAATGTTTGGTTGACTTAAGTCAATTTGGTTGACTCAAATTTGCGTTGAAAGTATACAGAAGAAGTGTCATGTAAATACTGAAGAAAAATGGATCGATGTTACATTTGGACCGGACCAAATACGATCGAATGCAAATGATTGTCCGATCCTTGATTCTAAGATGTCTATCGCTATTGGACCGCGGTTCTCATGAGTTTGGATAGGTCCGAACCAAACTAGTTATTATTATAATGTTTATTATTATTATTAAAGTATATTTATTATTTATTTTGTGATATTATTTTATAAATTTGATAAATCTATTTTATAATAATATAATTACTTACTTTTTACTCTATCTGCATCCACTACTTTTCATCCAAACAATAATTTACCCCTCTACATACACTCTCCATCAACTTGCACCCCTGCAATTTGGCCCTCAACTTATACACTCTCGAATTTGCACCATTTGTTGACAAACATAGTGAAACAACCCGGAGCCCCCACGTGTCCCACTCCTATCCCGTCGACCGTCGACTAGGGGTGGGCATCCGGTTCGGTAAACCCGAACCGAACCTGACCGAACCGAATCTCAACCGAACCGAACCCGAATTATCCTAACTCGGTTCGGAATTCGGAAACAAAATAGCCAGATTTCGGAACCCAGGGTAGTCCAACCGAAACCGCATTCCGAACCCCCGAACCGAAACCCGAACTAACCTGAACCTACTCTACCTCTCCCAGCCCAGACCACTCTCGAAGCCCACCCTCAACAACCCACTCATCTCCTGAAGCCCAATACCTCCCCAACCCTAAGCCCAACCTCTACCCTATCTGCTATTCCATTCCCAGCCGCACCCACAATGGCGAGAAGAAAGAGAGACGAAGGAAAATCGCCACCCTCACAACATTCCCCTGCATCTTCTCGACTCCCCGACGATCGATGTCACCGCTGTCACCGCAGCCCGCAGCCTGCATCCAGCTCGCCTCCTCCGCCGCCCGCACCCAGCCCCGCCTAGCTCCTTGTCGCAGCCCGCACCAACGACGAAATCCGCCACTCCCCACAAGACTCCATAGCGGCGGGATCGCAGTGACTCTGTCCTTGAGGTCGGAAACTAGAGTTCGAATCGCTTCGGCCTTGGCGATTTGGTTCTCTGCCCCCTCCGCAAAATAGATCTAGCAGTCCCCCCTTCGTTCTCCCTCTAAAACTGCACCTTTGAGATCTCTACTTCCCTTTTTATCTCTTTCCTCTGAAAATGAAATTCAAATTTTGTTTGGGAAACATTTTTGTTTGGGAGAGAGTTTGTTGGACAGGGAGAGAGAGCAGGGCAGTAGAGGGAGGGGTGAAAGAAGGGGATGGAGATTTGTTTAGGAGAGAGAGAGAGCAGCAGAGATAGGGAGAAAGAAGGGGACGAAAGATTGAAGGGGATGTGGGGAAGCAGGGGAGAGGATTTCTCTAGAAGTTCGGGTTGGTCGGGATCCCGAACCGAAATAAATTTCGGTTCGAAATCGGTTGCAGCTTTGGGATGGTTGGGGGACTCGGTATGCTCCTGTTCGGTTCGGTTTTGACCGAACCGAACCGATGCCCACCCCTACCGTCGACGCAAATCTCCTCACATGATCCGAATGATCCATCAGCCCGACCCGGCAGCATATTGCACCACCCATAGCGAATATTCATAATTACCCACGAGACAACGAGAAGCTTCCTGCCCAATCCCTGCTTCCCACGTGTTCCTCTCACCCGACTGGTCCAAGTCAGCACGCGCCAAAATCTCCCCGGGGCCCATCCCTCCTACGTGTCCGTCTTTGTGGTCGACTGCCGAGAAGTGATCACATACGCTCGCAAATCATGACCGTTAAAACAGAATTCCCCTTACCCCCTTCTCTTCTTCTTCTATCCTTCCTCACTTGTCCCGTTTCTTACACCAAGCAAAGCCAACAAATCCCTAATTTAGTGAACCGGAGAATTCCTCCGAAATTTCCGTCACACCGGCGATGAACAACCAAGTGGCGCATCCGTCATCGTCGTCGTCCAGCGACGCCTTCTCCTTCATCTCCAAGGGATGGCGGGAGGTCCGTGACTCGGCCGACGCGGATCTCCAGCTCATGCGTGCCCGGGCCAACTCGTTCAAGAACCTCGCCTCGTCCTTCGACCGCGAGCTCGAGAACTTCTTCAATTCCGCCTCCACCTCGCTCGTCGCGCCGCCATCGGAGAACAATTTCGTCAAGAAGCTGCAGCCGAAGATATCGGAGTTCCGGAGGGTGTACTCGGCGCCGGAGATCAGCAAGAAGGTTCTCGAGAAGTGGGGGCCTACCAGGGCCAAATTGGCGATTGATTTGTCAAGCATAAGGAACGCTCTCGTGTCTGAGGTCGAGGGGTACGATTATGATGGGGACAGGGATGGAAGCGTGGAGTTCGATAGGGTGTGGAGAGGGAGGAGGAGGCTCAAGTTCAAGGAGTTCTGGGGCGAGTGGAAAGATGAGGAGGAGAACGAAGGGAACCAGACTGAAGAGTGGAAGCCCATTCGAGATTTGAAGAAGCGGTTTAAGGAGCTGGAGAAGAAAAGCGAGTTGGGTGAAATATTTGAGGGGTTTAAGAACAGTGAGCTCGTGGAGAAGGTCAAATCCAGCCTGGTATGTGCTTTTCCATCTCGCTGCTTCCCCTTATGGTAATTCGTTATAGCTGTCTTGGGGAACTCAGGTTGTTTTGGTGTGAAATTATTAGGATAAGTTCTTATGAATTTGATAGGGTGCAGGATGCTATTTGGTTCTGCTGTGCACGTAAATTTGTGCTTAACTTTGATAAGAAGTTCAGGAGCCCATTTCTGTCCACTAGTTGGTAGAGCTTTTAGAAATATTTGAAGCAGGTTGGCACTTGTAGGCCTTCTCTAAGAATAAGAAATAGCTGGAACTAAATATGATTGAGAGGCTCTTGCGGTTATAAGGATTCGTTTATCTCTTGTTTAGTGACGAGTAATCTAGTATCTCTGAATCAATACGCAATAACTTATTGATGTAGCTGCCCAGTTTCTGTGTAGTTTGATCTTCAACGCATTAGCTTGATAATTACACCGAGATTCCTACTCGACCAGACGTTGACCGGCTTACATCAAGCACTTTGCGTGTTGGCTTTTCAAAACCTATCTAACTTAATGAGAGAGACTAGCTTATTTGAATCTTCCAAGCTTTTATTTATATACGTTTTTTTCAAAGTAAACTGAGGGTTTGGGTAACGACTGTTAGCAGTAGAGACTCGGGATCTCGCCCATTCAAGCAGTTCTTTGTTCATATCGTCCTTGCGCACAATCACTTCAATAGAGTGGAAAGAATCCTTCTGCGAATTGCCTACTTTTGTACTGGAAATAAGTGCTTATTTTGTAAGAATGATATATGGTTTGAGTTCTCATGTAGTGTATGTGATGTATTTTGCAGAAATCAATTCGCAAGGATCCCCAAGAATCACAGGTTAGATATCTGATTCTTAGTCTATAGACTCCACCTTAATGTGTGGACCAACAGTCATTTTCATCCATTAAGGAGGACCGTCTCTTATTAGTGTGTTATGATTTTATGACATCATCAGATGACTTGCCAAATTCTTCCTTGTCACATATGGTAATTTGTTTTTCTAGCAATCTGTCTGCAGAACCACTAGGTATCGTCAATAACAGATAAGAGCTAGGTTGCCCATTCGGTTGAAAAACTGAAACGACGTGACTTTTAAAATAATTTCACTTCCGCGTTTAAAAAATAGAAGGAAGGGAAGCCAGTCCTTATTTTTCATTAGCAAGTGAACATTTTGCGCCGCTTAAGGTCGAATTGGCTTGTTACATTTTGTATTATAGAGTACAGTCCAAAAACATGACCAGATTAAGTTCTAGCCATTCATTTTCCGGAAATCTCTTGAAATGTGCTCTGTTGGCCACATGCCTCCTGAAGTGATGGCTCTAATGCCTTTATGCATGATATATTCTGATTCTGGACCTCTCTAGGTGTTAGTCTCTACTGTTTTTATTATTACTATTATTATTATTATTATTATTATTATTATTATTATGTGTTAGTCTCTACTGTTACTAGTAGCTGTGTTTATCCTTCAATGGAACTGAAAGTGTACCAACCTGACTGTTTCTATGGTGTTGCTACGTGTAGGAAGTACCACCACTTGATGTACCTGAACTTTTGGCAAGTTTGGTGAAGCAATCTGGGCCCTTTTTGGATCAGATCGGTGTCAAAAGAGGCAAGTAATCATGATGGGTTATCAAACTATTGTGGAACTTGGTGTACCATATGTGGCTGTTCCATGTTATCCAAAAAATAATCTTATGCTATTATTGGCAGATATATGTGACAAGATAGTGGACAGCTTGTGTAGTAAACGCAAGAACCAACTTCTACTGCACTCACTATCAAGTGGAGAATCCTCTCTCGTTGGGGACGACAACAATGGCAATACTGATGAGCTTGATGTGAGAATTGCCAGTGTCCTTCAAAGTACAGGTCATCATTATGAAGGTGGATTTTGGACAGACAACGCCAAATATATCCCAGAGGACGGGAGGCGGCATGTTGCCATCGTCACAACCGCTAGTCTTCCTTGGATGACTGGAACAGCTGTTAATCCACTTTTCCGAGCAGCATATTTGGCACAATCAGATAAAAGAAATGTCACCTTGTTGGTTCCATGGCTATGCAAGTCAGATCAGGAAATTGTTTACCCCAACAGTCTCACATTTAGTTCACCAGAAGAGCAAGAGAGCTACATTCGGAACTGGCTCGAGGAAAGAATTGGGTTTAAGGCTGATTTTAGAATATCCTTCTACCCGGGAAAGGTAACTACCTACTAACTTGTAGTAAACGTAGTTTGCTTCGTTTTTATGAGTTACTGAAAACTATTAAACGTTATGTAAATATTGATTCTGTGTCCTATATAGTTCTCCAAGGAAAGAAGAAGCATAATCCCTGCGGGCGATACTTCTCAGTTTATACCATCTAAGGAAGCTGACATAGCTATTCTGGAAGAACCTGAACATTTGAACTGGTATCATCATGGTAGGCGCTGGACTGATAAGTTCAATCATGTTGTTGGAATTGTACACACAAATTACCTGGAATACATTAAGAGAGAGAAGAATGGGGCTTTGCAAGCTTTCTTTGTCAAACACATCAACAACTGGGTTGCACGAGCATACTGCCATAAGGTTAAGTGTCCAACCCTGTGAATTAACTGTCATTATCCTTTTGCGTTCTTATCTAAAGTTTTGTTTGTATTGATGATGCAGGTTCTCCGTCTTTCTGGTGCAACACAAGATATGCCAAAGTCAGTAGTGTGCAATGTACATGGTGTCAACCCAAAGTTTTTGCGCATAGGTGAGAAAGTAGCTGCAGATAGAGAACTTGGGCAGCATGCCTTCTCTAAAGGAGCCTACTTCTTAGGCAAGATGGTCTGGGCTAAGGGATACCGAGAGTTGATAGATTTGCTGGCCAAACACCAGACTGATCTTGACGGCTTTAAGGTGGATGTATATGGGAATGGTGAGGATGCACTTGAAGTTAAGAGTGCCGCTAAATCACTGAACTTGAATCTCAATTTCCTCAAAGGAATCGATCATGCTGACTCTTCTCTCCACGGGTAAGTACTTTATAACAACCTTCTTTCAGCTGCTATGGACCAAGAGTTGGCAAATTGTAGGCAAGCAGCACGAATCCACTGGTGAACTTAGTTAGCACTTCCTTTTTACAACTGAATATTATCGTTCACCATAATAGTCATTCTTATCTTCTCATTTAACTTGTTATCTGAGCCTTGCAAGGTCTGTTTGGTTTAGCTTTTGATTTACAGATATGACATTTTTAAGTTTCAGTAAAAGTGAAGTAAAAAAAAGGTGTTCTGAACTCATCCTTTTCTTTCTTTTCATATTTGAAGGTACAAAGTCTTCATAAACCCAAGCATCAGCGACGTGCTCTGCACAGCTACAGCTGAGGCACTCGCAATGGGGAAATTTGTAGTATGCGCAGATCACCCGTCGAACGAGTTCTTCAGATCATTTCCGAACTGCTTGACGTACAAAACATCCGACGACTTCGTTGCAAAGGTGAAGGAAGCAATGGAGAAAGAGCCTCAACCTCTGACTCCCGAGCAAAGCTACAACCTCTCTTGGGAGGCTGCCACCCAGAGATTCATGCAACACTCCGACCTCGACAAGATCCTGACAGAAGACAGAGGAGCTGCCACCGCCACAACGAGACCACCCATGCCAGCCGTGCCCAAGGCCTCGGAGGTGCTCGACGGCGGTCTGGCATTCGCGCACTACTGCCTCACCGGGAACGAGTTCCTGAGACTATGTACTGGTGCAACACCTGGGACTAGAGACTACGATAAGCAGCACTGTAAGGATCTAAGGCTGTTGCCCCCGCATGTAGAGAACCCAATTTACGGTTGGTAGGTATATATAGGTGAATAATGTAATTAGTGTTAAACCGTAGTTTATTTCTTTTTGGATGGTAATCCATTTGTTGGCCTAGATAGGGATAAAAGTGTGACTGTGTTACTTGGACTTTATGAAGCCTACGTATACAAGGTGTCTACAATTTTAGCGTATCCCACCTGCTTGTGCAAGTTACCTCTTCCCTTCTTCGGTTTGAATAGATGTTCGTAATTCAACTGGCTAGGATGTTTGCAGTTAAGTTCCATAAAAAAGAGGCTATACTCCTGCCAATGAAGGAGCAAGAGCAATACATGTGACAAATCCATTATTTTTTATAATTCGTCTGTATGATCCACACATTATAACGAAGACATTATAAAGTAAATATAATACACACATTGAGAAATTTTAAGTTAAAATATCTTTATGATAAATTTAGTTTCTACCTACAAATTCTTTTGTTAAACAAACTGAATTTGTATTTTTATTAATGACACAAGCTTACCATAATATAAATGTACAAATTTTTTTATGGTACGAACTGAATATGTACCTTTAACGTTATGGTACAAGTTTAATTTATATATCGAAACACCAATACTTTAGAGGATAGTAGAATGACTGATTCTTTTTATTATTATTAGAATATTTTTTTTGCCGATGAAATAAGTAACCTCTAGTCCTGAATGAATGTATATGTTACACGTTAGGCGAATCCCACATCGACAAAGCACGTGAAAGGTCCATGGTTCATAACTAAGAAACCGACCTTAACTGACAAGATACGTTTTGGGGTGAAATGGAATAGTTCTTTTAAGAACTCCAAAGTTAAACGTGCTAACCGTGGAGCACTGCGAGGATGGGAGACCTTATAAGAAGTCACCTGGACATGCACCTCGAGGCCAAAACCGTGAGGGTCTAGACCCAAAGCGGACAATATCTTCTGGGGAAAAGATTTGGGATGCTATAAGTGGTATCACATCCTCTTTGTGTCCTTCTTGATTGATGGTAGGGCAAACCTCAACAAGGACGTTGAGTCCCAAGGGGGGTATGTAACACTTTAGGCAAATCCCACACCGACAAAGTACGAGAGAGATCCATGGTTCATAAGTAACAAACCGATCTTAACTGAGAAGACTCGTTTTGGGGTGAAATGGAAGAGCTCTTCTAATAACTTTGAAGTTAAATGTGCTCATTGTGAAGCATTGCAAGGATGAGTGGCCTTATATGAAGTCACCTTGACATGCACCCCTAGGCCAAACCCGTGAGGGTCTAGGTCCAAAGTGGACAATATCTTATTGAAAAAAGTTCGGGATGCTACAGTATATGACACCTATACCCGTTAACTAAAGAAAGAGACCTTTTAGTTAATTGAATCGGTGAGTACTGAATTGAGTAGTATAAATCTATAGTAAGCTAAATAAAAGGAAGAGCTTTGGTCATTTCCGCTTTCCTTTCTGCTGGAAGCACCGCGAGAGCATTGAACATCTTTTCTTTAGATGTCCCCTAGAGATAAAACTTTGGTCATTAGTGGGATGGAAGAGCTTGTCTGATCAGCCCCAAAATCCAATCTTAGCCTCTAGTGACGTTATTTCATTTGATCTGATCGCAATTCCAAGTTCTCCAATGTGTTTTTTTTGGAGGATTTGAAAATATCGGAACACTATGGTCTTTGAGTGCTACCAACCTCAGGTCCGGGTCCTCTCTTCTCAGTTTAACTTTCAAGTCCGAGAATTTCCTTCTTCGACCCTCTCCCTCCTCATGTTGCTCATCTCTCATCTCCCCGATGGTCTAGTGTGCTTCATCTTCTGGAGTTGTTATTCAAAATTCTAGCGGTTCCACTCTTTTGGCTGCAGGTTCATCCACTATGGAATTTCAGACCCATATATTGTGGAGCTTCTTCCAGCTCGTGACGCCATTTTAAATGCGATATCCCGTCATATTGCAAGAGTGGTGGTAGAAGACAACTCAGATGTTGTTATTCATCCGCTCCAGTAGAGTTCTAGGTGGACTCGTGCTGCGTGATTGTTTCAAGCTAATCTCGGCCATACCCCACGCTGTAGAGTTTTAGGGAGATTCCTCGAGTTGTCAATTGGACTACCAATAGAGTAAAGTCATTCCTTGTTGTTAGAATTTGTGTCCTTTAATTTTTGCATTAGTTATTGTTGTGATATGAGTATGACTGGTTGGGTTTTAGACAAGGCAAAATGTTTCTTCGAATTGTTGTTTTTTTTTAACATTTCTCAAAAGAAAAATGAGATGTTTGATTACTCAAAATTGTGTTGTAGAATGCGAGAAATGTGAGGGTAAAGATATTTATATACTTAATACTTATATGAACTTCTGCTACAAGCAAACTCTTTCAAATAATCCGAGTCGCCTAACAGCGTTCCATGGGAGGCAAAACCCTGGCCTTACCAACTGAATATTTATGTTCGGATTAGTGGTTTACTGGTTTATTAGTAGCAGGACAACATTTCTTCGACAGTTCCACGACGACGCTTCATCCGCGGGAAAGAGGCGTGGGATTCGAACGATCAGCGAGTTAGTAGTGTGGCTCATGTGACTTCCATTTCAGGAAAGAAAACAAAAATAGGAGCTCGCCAAATTGTAATGGCGTGGCATCACTGTACTTCCTCACGTTGCAATTGCAACTGAGATTCACATTACTACTCCTATACAGTAATTCCCCAACTCTGAAGAATAGTTTCTTGGCAGGCGTGATTCACTCTCATGTGATCCCCAGTTTTCATCTGACAAAAAAATCCCAGGTAAAAACAACAATCCCAATTAACAGAAGGCCCATGACTTCAATTTCTGACACTTCACTAGCTTTCAATTCAGAAACCCTTTTCACTTAATGGGGATTGCAGCCATTGCTGACTAGCTCGGGCCATTAGGGTTCCTTTTTTTACCGGGGATCCACAAACCATAGTGGGAATCTGGCACATGAGTGTTCTCTTCTTTTCCCTCCTTTCCTTTTTAATGTTTGTTTAATCCCCATGACAAGTTTAATTCTTTTTGATTGTTCATCATTTCATCAACAGACGACCAGGTACTAGAATGTGCTATATTCCTTCTCCATTTTCTCCATTTTCTTTTTACCTTATGGTACACAGGACCAAGCCTGGTCATTAGTGGTGGTGCAATGAAACTCTGTTGTGTTTCAGACCCTTCATTTTCAAGGGAAATGTATAAACAAATTGGACAAAGAAAAGGGAATGAAAGTAGGTTGTTGACCGACTAAGAGATCATGTTAAGATGGTGATGAGAGGTTGAGGTTAGCTGCTGCTGTAGCAACTCACTCATTCACTTATCATAACTGGACTACTACTTATATCGATATACTTTATTTTGATTATCTTTTGCTCATTAGAGAATCTCTTCCTTTTTTAAATGAAAAAGCCAATAACTTCTACAAGGCACGCGCTTTTCTAGTGGGAACATCCAATGCAGTCAAAATCGAGATTTTAAGTAAAATCGAAATTGAGGTAGAATCGGAATCGTAGATAAAAATACACACTTAAAACACCATATTGTAAGAAAAATGCACATCTGGAATAACAATCAACCACATAAAACATAATTACTTCACAAGATAAGTTTGTTTGCTAAATAAACACAATTGAATCTATATATTTATTCTTGTACATAATATAAACACACAAAATAAGCAACCTAAACCTCGTAGAAATCACTTAATTAATAGTTGAGATTAGAAAATCACATAAGATTGTTAGGATCAACATTAACATCACTTACACATCATTGACATCATCCTCACCTTCACCCTCACTCTCATCCTTGTCTATTTGCTTGATGACTAATATCATTACTCTTAGGATCACTTGACGTACTTTCACCATTGATATTTCCTTTTATCACCATCATCTGGCAAAGATAACTCATTGATTGATGCATTCCCTTCTTGATTGATAAATATCGGGGTTAGTGGTGCTGAAGGATTGAGAGATGAATGAAAGCTTGCAATGGAATGGAGATTTGGATAATTGTGAGGGTGGTGAGAACAAACTACAAGCTAATTGGGGAGCGGAAGATATCGTTGATGGAAGGAGTTGGGCATCGACGTGTGAAAGAAGAAGATAAGAGGAAGAGAATGAATATAAATTGAGGGTTTTCTATCGGGTTAGGGTTGTGTTTTTCATTATGTTGGGTCTGGGGAAGTAAAATTAACTCGGTTCTTGGGAAGAACCCGACTTGACCGACTTAATTTTGCTCTAATTGATATGAACCTTGAAATCGTACAGAATCGTAGATTTTAAAGATTTTAGAGTTTTAAATCGGGATTTTAAGGTTCAAAAATTTTACAGTAAAATCAGGATCGGAACCTATATGTAAGATCGTCAAATCATAAGATTTTAAAATTAAAATCGGGATTTTGACTACATTGGGAACATCTCAAGCTGCAATGGGTAGGAAGAATGTTCCCTTTTTCTGATGCAGTTTCCATTTATAGTGAATTCCCTTATGTTTGTCCTTCATAGCTTGGTAATACTTGCCTAGCCTTCAACATACCTAGAGTTTGCGAGGATGGAATGAAATGTTCCTTTTATGAAGCTGCTCTGATGCGTTGTAACCATGATTGTGGTTATAGGAAGGAACATTATGGGCTCTTCTGAAAATTCCAGTACTAGGTTTGTACATTTACTTTTGCAACTTGCATTCTTTTACCCCCTGTTTAGGAAGGAGGGAAAAGGGAGGAAAGGAAAGGGAAGTGAAGGAAACACAATAATTGAGGATTTTCCTCCGTTTTTTAAGGCTGTATACAGTACCCGTGGAAAGGGAAAAGGAAGAAAAAAATCCTGTTCCACCCACCCCTCCGATTTGGGGGGAAAGCTCCTTTTTTTTTGTTAATACCCACTGCTGCTCACTTTAAACTTTCCTATTCCAATTTTATTCCTTTATTTATTTTTTGGATTTTGATGGTCGTTTTTTGTACCAACCCTCACAAACTATATTCCTTTTGCCATACTCACAAACTATATTCATGTACAATTAACAATATTTTCCCCCTTATTTAAGTTATTATTATGAGGGGTACATTAGGGTGCAATAAATTATGGTAAGTAATAGCTAATAAGAAGTAAACGGAAGTAGTAAAATTGTCGGTCAATTTCAGTAAAATAATTGTAATTAATGATAAGTGATTATTATTAAAATTAGAGTACGTAAAATCGTACGGTATGTCGTACGATCCATATCGGTGATTACGTCATGTATAACGTTGTTTTATGCAATACATAAATCTGCTACGTGATATGTAAAATCGTGTTACGATGCTGGTAAAACAAATTAAGAGTGTAAATTTTTATAGAATGAATGTTAGGGAGAGGCTAGTGTGATTTGTTGTATGTTTCCGTTTTAGTTGCTATGTGACGAATCAATAAAATAGAGACAAAATTTTAACAATAGGTTCACAAAAAAAGCAAGACATCTACTTTTGATTTTTAATAGTGAACAAAATTAATAAGAAAAGTACACATTTAATTCACAATTCATAACAATGAAAATAATATCAACATATAATCAAATCATTTTACTAATACATACTCAATAAAATAACATATCCATCACAATTTCCAATACACATTTTCCTTCCCACTTTCCTCCATAAAACACCATTTTCCTTCCAATTTCCTTCACCTCCAAATCTCCCCTCCCCTCCTAATTTTCCTTCACCTCCCCTCCTTTTCCTCCCTTTCTTCGGAAACAGAGGGTTACAGAAGAGGGAAGATTGACAGCCACTTAAGTGGGAAACAACTAGCTCTGGAATTCCCCTTCTTAGTTTCCCACCTTTTACAACTCTGAGACCCGGGTTTCAATTTCAATTTCTGACACTTTTGGGTGCTTCTCTTTACTTTGTGGTGCCTTCCTGCAGATCCATTGTTTGTAAAAGTAAGCCTTAATCTAAGTTGAGATGGGGCATAGGTAAGTGCCTTGCTCTAGCAGCATCTACCTCTTCATAGTTATGGTACAAGTAAGTATGGATGGCAATTACCCACCCATAGTTAGGTATGGATATTGCTCTCATAATGTAAATAGGTATGGGTTGGATATGGATATCCATTTACTTGAGGGTGTTTTAACTACACACACAAAAATTGGACCTACTTGTAAAACTTGAAAAGTTTAGGTACCAAAATGTAAGACCAAAAAATTTTAGGTACCAAAATGTAATTTTCCATCGATATTTTGAGGACTTATATGCAAAAAAAATTAAATTTAGGTACTAAATCTGCATATCTATTAAGTTTAGGTACCAAACTGTAATTTGTTTTTGGGCATGGGTATAAACCCAAATCCATGTGTTAAAAACCCAACCCAACCCAAGTAAATGGGTATGGGTACAAATCAATCAAACTCTACCCATCTGCCATTTATTTGAAATCCATACCCAAACCAATTGGGTTGGATAGTAAAATACCCATGGGTATGGGCGAAATTGCCATCCCTAGGTACAAGTGGCCTTGAAAAGGTTAAATGCCAACTCCCTGGTAAAAAACCCAGATGAAATGGTAAAACCAGTGTGGAACCCTTTTTACAATTCTGCTTGGAGTACTTGGATTCTTCACTTTACTTAAGATTCCCTTCTAGAGCGAGAGAGTTAATAGAAGTTAGCAAATTACTCAAGTTCTTGAAGGGATCTTTGCTTTTAGTGATCGAAGTCTCAAGATTGTCAATCTACTTTTGAAGATTCTTGTGTTTTTAGTCCAAATTACACATGCGTTTAAGTGGTGGAGCCAAGGGATTATTCATTTGCGTATTGGATTGGCTATATCAAACCAACCCACTAATCAGATTTCAGCTTGGATCTAGCTTGTACGTTCTGCTACATGGTCCTTCTTGATAACCTTCTTAATGCTCAATCCTTATTTTCTAATGCAGTCATTAAACCATGATTGATAATTTTAAACCCTCAATAGTTGAAGAAGTTCCAAGAACTTTGTGTAGGGTAGAAACAAGCTTATGGTTGGTGAAGAAAGATATCCCGAGAATGGGATTTGCTTTGGATCATAGTCCACTTTAGGATTAAACTTGTCTTTCTTTCTTTGTTTATTGTATGTGATCTGAGGTTTATGATGTGAAATTGAGCTTTCTAGTGCTCCATCATCAAGAAGGTAAAAAGAGCATATGTGACAAGAGCACTTATATTTGTTTCTTTGAAAAGAAACCTTTTGAAAGCTTATGAGAGCTTTTCTCCAGAAAGTGTTAAATACAGGTTAACAGCAGCCACCACCAAACATTGGCAAGATAAGGACAAAACAATACTTTTCACTTTTCCTGCCTTAAACCCTCGTCCTACACTGACTAAAAAAAGAATCAGCAGACAAAATTTGTTTACAAGAAATATTCACTTCTGAACGTTTTACACCTTCACCATTTACTGGCTGAGGCTTCTCAGTTTCCGCAGGACATTCAAGTACAGTTATTACAACATGATCCCTATCAACGCCATCCAAAACCGGGTTTATACTTCCACGGTGGAGCAATTGTGGTGCCTGTTTCTCTGGAGACACTGTAGCTGTCTTCAAGCTTTTGAAGCTGGCAAGACTAGCAAGTTCCTGAACTGATTCAGTTAGCTTCTCTACAGACTTGACTGTCTCGACTAGTATCGATGCAACGGTTGCAGCTGGTATCATGGCCAGGATATCTGCTTGATTTACTGAGACAGATTTCAGGACTAGTTTAAGCTCTTTCATGGCAGATTTTGAGCTCTCGACATGAACAACTGCTGGAGAAGGATCAGTCATCGATTTCATAGAAGTAGCCAATGATCTCAGTGCCATTCCTGATTCTTCACTCATCCTTGTGCATATTTCCTTTGTCTTGTTCTGGAACTCTTTTGGCGCCTTTAAAAGGAGCAGCAAGCAAAGATTTGATAGGTTAGTAGCTTTCTTTTTTCGTCATCCGCTGAATAGAAAGTAACCTTTTTCAGAGGCTGCTGTGTTTTGGTGATTTGTTTCATCAAAACACTATGGATGGCTGAAGTAGAAGGAGGTGATTTAATATAGTTGGAAAAGTGAAAAAGGGAAAGTAGAACAAAACAAAGAAGTCAACATCTTGACTGATTTTCAGCTGTCAATGGAATATCAGAATTGATTGTCGAATCAAAAGGATTGGCAGAAAAACCAAGGCTTTTTCAAGTTCTTACTTTGAAACCAGAGTGAATGTAGCCATTAAGAGCTTCAATCTGGTAAGCACAATGTCGTGCCAAAGCTGCAGTCTTCAAGTATTGATTCCATGGATGCTTCAATTTAAACTGGCCGTGTCTCGGCTCCCATCTTGCAAGATTTGCCTGCAAGATTAGGGAACCATGTTATCAGTAAAGCCAAGAAAGGAATATAATTCGACAGAAGAGAAATCTTTTCAAGAAGTTGTAGGAAACTTTACCAGGGTTTCTTCAGTGGACTTGGAAGTGAGAACACTTTTGTATCCTTGGAGACATGGCTTGGCTTTGCCAGCAACATCATTTTCTCCATCTTCAGGGGACTGGAAATACTCAACTGGAAATCCTGTCACAAAAGAGTTCCTTCCAATGTAAGTAACACAACTGGGAAAAATGAAAGCTGAGTTTATGAAATGATCCAAATTCATTCATATATACCTTCGAGGTAGCATCCGAGCTTTTCGATATTAGAAGCAACCAAGTTGTGAAGATCTTCACCAGCCCATACAGGGCAAATGAAAATGGACACAACCATGCATGTTGCCACCCCTATTATGATGGTTGTCAGTCTCTGCTGTGCCAAAGTCAAAAGCTCGTCAACCCGGTAACCTGATACCGATACCAAGGCGAATGTCAGGATGAAGATCATGACTCCATAGTCGTATCTCGCCTTGATCCTTGGAAAGAATCGCATGAATGTCGAGGTTGAAGCTGCATGCCGCAAGAGTAGGTAAAAATTATTTGGCTTAATTTTGAATCCATTACAGTGAGTTGCTTCCTTTTTTTGTTTGAAATGCATACCTAACAAAAAAACAAGGATTCCAAGCACAATGGGCTCTCCCTGGTCTCCAAATAGAGCAGCCAAGTGCTGAGCTCCAAGTCCTAGAGCACCAGCAGATAGTGTTGCAAAACCTCTGTTCAACCCTTTGCACAAAGTCCCACCTAGACAAAGAGAAAAGGAGTCGGTATCTAAATGCATACTTCCGTAACTTGTGACACAAGAAATGAACAGAAGCTCCAAAAACTCACCAACTGTGAACTCAGAGATCACCACAACTGTAAGCACAGCCCACATCCCAGCAGCCCCGAAACCATCATACAGCGGCCTAGCGTAGTATAGTAAGGAAACCAAAGTGAGTGAGAGTCCAACTTTAAGGGAGTGAAAGACCTTTCTAGGATCATCTTTCCCAATCTTCACCATCCCTTTTCCAAACTTGATCATCTTATCGTTGAACAAGCTGCATCGCCGACGGACAGGCCCCCACAGTTTCTCCTGGTGGGATACTGATGACTCTGTAACAATCTCCATGGATGAAATGGAGTGTGTAGCACCTTTGGGGAGGGGGGGAGAGGAATGAGATGCTTGTGGAGAGAATGATAAGTCACTACACCAACTTCTATCTATTTATAGGAGCACCAAAAACATATATATTGTATATTTAATAAGTTCTTTTGTGCTGGTTAAATTAAATTGTATATTTAATAAGTTCTTTTGTGCTGGTTAAATTAATGAGTTCTTTTGCATGATGCAATGGCAGGACAAATTAAAGATTTTTGTTTGGTATGCTTCAAATTTGTGTGGCTGACTAGACTTCTTGCTTACTTAGTATTATTATTATTTCTTTTTGATTCAAGGCAATTGATATTTCTGTAAGTTTCTTGATTTGCCATTGGTGGAAGAGATAATACTGAAAGGCTGTATCTGGGTCGATTGTAAAGAGAAGAAAAAAGAACATGCATGTTAGTGGCATTTCATTCGTTACAACAAGTGGGTGAGTTGCCCATTTACTTATCATCATTCTCTTATATGATATATGGTGGTAAATCAACTTTTGTTACTCCGGCCACCGGATCGAGCGGGATGGCCTCAAATCCAAACTTGTCTCCACTTACCCAACTTGCTCTTCTCACCAACATAGACCTACTTACGTACTGCTGCCTCCTTATGATGAGGTAGTCGAGACCTTTAGGGGCGGCTGGCGGGTATTGTATTGGTATTACGCCTTTGCTTGCAAGAGGGAAACACCAAATGGAGGATAATGGTCATTCACTGTCAAAGCCTGCTAAAGGACCGGTTACCGTTCGACCGGTTTCCGGTATACCGGAATTCCCCACACCTGCGCTGTTAGCCCATACCGTTACGTCGGCTATACCTATGAATTATGAAATAATGAATCAATTAACAAATCACTAAATCAAGTAATCTACATTAAGCTACCCCAAACACTTCAAATCGACGTATAGGAGAGGACAAAGTACGAACTGCTGTCTGCTGGGTTCAGGTCCTAGGGTCGAGCAATTAATCTTCGATGGTGACGGGGTTCGACGGAAACAGGGCAACGGCGAAGGGTGTCTACAGGGCAACGGCAAAGCGGGGTCGACGTAAACAGGGCAACAGCCAAGGGCGTCGGTTTCGATCGGCGGCGTTCGGATTCCATGAATGGAGGGATCGGCGGCGTGACGCGTCGTGCGTGCTCGTGTAGCAAGCAGGGGAGAGGGAGACTTGATTCGATTTACTAATTACTAATTACAACTAGGTTTTAGGGAGTTAGGGTCGGCTGACGGCTTTTGGTTTTGGAGTTTGGAATATGGTTGTCGATGGATGCCTTTCCCATTCGGTGTCGGGAAACCGAGTTGCCGACGGTAATTTACCGTTCCTCCCTCGGTAAACCGTCTGCCACCAATTCGCTGCCAACTACCGTTTTGTTGCGGTTAATGGTTTAACCGGTAACCGTAGTTACCGGTTAAACTGTTAACCACAATACCAATTAGCACCCCTAGTCAAAAAGTTCAATCATATCTGAGATCATTTTTATTTGCTAAAATATGTATGAATGATTACTAAATTAATTGTTAGTAATATGTCAGGTTTGTAAATTTGTGTCTTTCCAGCAGTTCGATCTAGAAAACTTTTTATCGAATCTAACTTGATAGACGATTATTAGTGGTATGAAACGGTTAAATAACGACTTCGATATAAAATATAATACCGCTGACTTTTCTTGTACAACCTCCAATATAGTGTTACAATCCTTGATAATATGCAATGAAAGTATATTAAAAAAAATGTATGAAGATATAAAAGAATTAAATTGAACTTAGAGTTTCCCCTGGTCCAAAGCTTTTAAAAAATGATTTTTTAAAGACCAATTAGTTCTTCCGACAGTTTATTTCAATTTTAAATCTCTTATTTTTGTGAGCATATATTATTTTCGGTAACTCTTAAGTCTTAATAACTTGTATTGATTTGTCATGTGCGCGTGCCAACATGACTAATCGAAATTTTTGGTGTTCTTATCTTGTTTAATTATTCGTATTTAGTTATAATTTTTAGATTATTTGAGTTATTTAAGTATTATATTTCTCTAATTGGATTAAGAATTTCTCATAAGAAAACATATTTCTCTTCCCTTTCTCTCAAAGCGTCGTATTTCTTTTCCATCTTCAGCCGATGGAGACCGTCAGCGGCGGAGCCTCCTCAAGTGTCGTCGGTGACGGGCGCACTTGGGCGTCTCTTTTTTCGATTAGTCCGGATCTCAAGTTGGATTACTACGAGTCGGAGTTTCGTTAATGGTTCACTGTGGATTCCCAAATCGGTGATCGATGAGGGTTCTAGAAGGTGGGTAAATTGCTTAGTTGGCCAGTTCCTTGACCGACCGGCGTCGCTCTCGCCCATTCACTTCTGGGCGAATTGGATTTGGGGACGAGATGGACTATTAGGGATTCAGTCACGTTTTCATGTTCCAATTGAAGACTTTCCTTTTTTGATTATTCTCAAAGGGGAAGATTCTTCTTTTTACCAAACATATGCGGATCCAATCACGATCTTATAATAAGAACAAGAGATCTTTCTCGATCAATCCCTTTGCCCATTCTTCGAGAATCAGAAAGATTTTTTTCAAGTTCATGGCTTAGGGAACGCTTAGTGTTATTTCAGTTTCTGAACGCGAAGGTTTGTCGTTGGGTCTTTGAAGGAGGGCCTTGGCACCATCGTGAGAACATGATTTTCCTGCGAAATTGAGAACCAGGTATTCAACCTCTTGCTATCGATAACTTTGTGGTTCCATTCTGGGTTAGGTTATCGAATTTGCGTTCTGAGATGACTTCTAAGGAGGGTTTAGGGTGTATTGCTAGATCTCTAGGTCGGCCTCTTTGTATGGACTTCCCTACGAAACAGGGGACGAGGTTCAGGGTTTCTAAGGTCTGTGTTGAAATTACTGTGAAGTCGAACCTTGTGAGATGCTAGCTGATGTCGATTTTTGTCATGTTCCGAGCAAATGTGAAAAGTGTCATGTGTTTGGAGATGATTGCTCAAATCCTGGTTGAAGAACAAGAGGATCTGGGTTGTGAAGCAGACTCGAGTGAAGGAAGTAACCCATATTTCTCAGGAGAACAAGGGAAAAAGTGTGCTTGTGGTTCAAGATGTGGATGTTACTCAGTATGAGGTTAGCTTGGAGGCTGGTATGAGTTGTGTGGAGGTCTCGGATGCTGTCCAAAAAATGAGTGAGCGCTCAAAAGCTGATGAAGATGATTGATTCCAGGTGGTTACAAATAGGAAGAATAGAGTAAGAGCTTTCGCTCCACGGTCTGCATCTAAAAGTCCTTGGAACTTATATTCTGGTCTTGCTAAGAGCTCTCTGGACGATAAAATGTCTCCCTCCCTAAGTCGACCTGTATTGAGGCGTGTTATTGCTCCTCCTTCTCTCGCCCCTGTTAAAGGTAAGGGAAGGGGGGAAAGGCGCGGGAAATGAAGGTCGTGTGCTGTAATGTCAGGGGCTTTAATGCTCCTGAGAAGCACTCTACAGTTCTTAAGAAGTTTTGCCGCTTGAAATTAGATATTATAGCAATAATAGAAACTAGTTATAGTAGTTAGTTGTGTTGATATACTTGCTAGACATTTTAGTCATTTGAAGCATCTGAATAACTACCCTAATCCCCAAATGGTTGAGTCTGGTTGCTCTGAAAAGATGGTCTGGATATTAGTAAGGTTGATGATGGGCAACATTTCCTAAAAGTCAAGGTTGGGGGGTCTTCTCCTTTCATTCTATTGGTGGTTTATAGTCCAAATAAGGAAGCTAAAAGGGCTGCTCTGTACAGGGATCTTATGCTTCAGCAGGGGTTTTTTTACCTTCGGTGATCTTAGGAGATTTTAACGTTGTGCTTGATCCAGGAGAAGCTTCAAATTCTTCTATTATAACTTCTAGTATGGTTGCTTTTAAATCCTGGGTTGACGTCATGAAGCTGCTTGATCACAAAGTTAGGGGTGCATGGTTTACTTGGTGTAATAAGCAAGTAGGGAATCCCATTGCAAAACGGTTGGACAAAATCTTGATTAATGAGGCCTGGTTGACTACCTTCTCAGCCAGTACAGCTTTCACTACTCCCCATGGGGTGTCTGATCACTGTGGGTTGTTGTTGAATGTTATGGAAAGTTTCCCGAAGCCGTTTAAGTATTTCAAATTTTGGGTCAGTCATCCCACCTATAGTAACTTAGTTTCAGAAGCTTAGAATTATAGTGTGGATGGCTATCCTTATTTTGTGGTTTATGCTGATATATTTGCTCAGACTTGAGACAGTGAAAGTCGATTGGAGATGTTAAAGATGTCTCTTCATGCCAACCTGGATGCCAATCTGGCGGAGGAAGAAAAGTAGCTTGCAAGCTTGCAGCTGAGTGCCATGAGTTGCAAAAAGCTGAGAAAAGCTACTATAAATAGAAAACTCAGATCAAAGGGGTGCAGGAGGGAGATATGAATACATCTTTCTTTTCATAGTTATGTGAAGGTTCATACTCATCGCCAACAGATCACTCATCTTCTAAATTCTCAAGGACAAGATGTGACTGCTGTTAAGGATATGGGAAAAGTTGCAGTGGACCTTTATAGGAAACTAGTTGGGGAAGTTGATCCTGCTGTCATTGTTCAGCCCTCCAACTTCTATGAGCAATTATCTCTTAAAACGCTTACACAAGAGGAGGCTCTTTCCTTGGTTTATCCAATCTCTAGATATCGTTTCCTTTGGCATTATGCCTCGAGTTCCGAATTCTACCCTTTTTACTCTTGTGGCTAAGATACCAACTGCTGAACAAATGAAATTCTTCCGCCCCATCTCATGTAGTAATATGATTTATAAGGGGATATCAAGGTTCTAGCCAACAGGTTAGCATCTGTCCTGTCCTCTTTACTTTCCTCATCTCAGTATGCTTTTATTAAAGGTCGGTCCATTAGTAATAATATCCTCTTGGTGTCAGAATTAGTGAAAGATTATTATAGAAAACACATCTCCCCTCGTTGTGCTGTCAAAATTGATATC